TTGTTTTGACCCTGAGGACACAGGTCTTGGTTTCCAGGTTTCTGCCATTCCTACAATGTCACCTTGGTGAGGAAGAACCTGATGCCAAAGCTTGGGCCACCCCAGTTCAGGGGTAGCAGTGCCATCTGGTGGAAAAGAGAACTCAAAGTTTATAACTCTGAGCCCCTGTCCACTCTTTAACCACAGGAGGCAAAGTCCAGCTTCAGGACTGACCTCTCCTGAGGGCCATGAGCCAATAAGATCTCCTTAATAGCCACACTTTGGTCCTTCCATGCTTATCCTAGGCCTGCCACTCAGCATTATTAGTCTCCCTACATATTTCTCCACAGGTCTACTGAAAACCCACTGAGGGTCCTGGGACAGGTATGGTCTCTTCTGCAAGGATTTAAAAAAAGCCAAGAACCAAGGGAAACACCAGACACTATCTTTGTATCTTAGCCAGGAGCAGAATGAATAGACAGGTTCAGCCAGGAGCCTAAATTTCCCACTAACTGGTGAGGCAGATAAGGACATAGCCAATTAATTACACATCCTGGACACCAGCCCTGCCCTATTGGCAGCAATAGCTGCTATGTCTCTACCTGATGTCCCTCTCAGGCCCACGTTTCTCATTTTGTGAAAAGCTTGTTCCCAAGTCCATTCCACATTTAGGATAAGGAACTGAGCCCCACCTTTCTAAGGAAAGAACATTAAGTGTCAGAGTTGGGGAAGAGTGGGAGCAGGGACTTCAGAATCCCAGGAGGTGCCATGAACAATCCAGGTTAGCCTGGCTTTCTCAGAGTAGGCAATGGCATGGGTACAGCCCCCTCCCAAAAGACACACAGGAAGCCTCCCTGGGTATCTGAATTTTAGGAAGAGGTTTGAAAATGGAAGATGAAACAACAAAAACAAGACACACACACAGACAAAAAAAAAAAAAAAAAAAAAAACAGAGAAACAGAAATTCTCTGATTCTCTGGAAGGGAGTTAAAACTGAGCTTCAACTAGGCATGGTGGTACATGCCTTTAATCCCAGTACTCAGGAGACAAGCAGAGGTGGATCTCTTTGAGTTTAAGACTAGCCTGTCTACATGGAGTCTCAGGCCAGCCAGAACTACGTAGTGAGACCCTGCCTATACAAACAAATAAGTAAATGGATCTTCTCCCAGCCTGATTAAGGGAAAGGAGGGTGTGATGCAGATTTTTTTGGGGGTAGGGAAGCAACAGGCCAAGGATTCTTAGGAAGCACAGCAGAGGGACCCAAAGCCACAACCCATGCCAGGAGGCCTGGACAAAGAGGTAGGGAGAGGACAGCAGTATGGGTCCCAGAGTATATAGGGATGTCAAAAGGGATAGAAGTCCCAGGAGGACAAGGGAGGAGTCCTAAGCAAGATTTAGGAGTCCAGAAGGAGGGGTGATTCTACCAAGGGACCTTTCCTTATAGAAAGTAGCCACACCCCTCTACTGGATACTACTAGGTATCAAGTCCTACACAGGAAGTGTTGGGAAGCAGGTGGCACTCAAGGAGAATGATACTAAGAAACAAATGATGCCTGGGCATGGGCCAGGTTGCCACACTCCTTATGATGGTCCTCAATAAGGAAGATGCCTTTTGGGCACTGGCCCAGCTGCCACCCCATTAATGAGCAGCATACCATCCAAGTTAAGTAGACAACTTCTCCATGATGTATGTACGTCCTACAGAGAGGGTACCAGAACAGAGGACCACTGCCTGGGCCTCCATGTTTAAGTAAAGGCCTATAAAGTGACACATAACTGGCCTAGAGGTGAAGGTGTAAGGTTGCAGGGCGTGAACTGCCTGCTGTAAGAATAAAGTATTCCTCAGGGGTGACTAGGAACAGATTGGAGGGTGAGCAGGGACTCCAGCAATATGGAGACCTGGTGTATAGGTCTCCATCAAACACTTACTAGACCTCCTCCTTAAAAGATACTGGTTTTGGCCAGGCAGTGATGGCACACACCTTTAGTCCCAGCACTCAGGAGACAGAGGCAAGCGAATCTCTGTGAGTTCGAGACCAGCCTGGTCTACAAGAGCTAGTTCCAGGACAGCCTCCAAAGCCACAGAGAAACCCTGCCTTGAAAAAAACAAAACAAAACAAAACAAAAAAAAAAAAAAAAAAAAAAAGGAGGATGAGGAGAAGACAACGATGACGACACTGGTTTCTTACAGAACCACAGAACCAAATCAATGACTACCACGTGGCCCAAAGGGCTCTACACTCTGGTTCGAACCTGTGAGACTATATAGTCCAAAAACTGAAACCATGTTGCACAAACAAAATAAATCAACCAGAATGAAAATCAATTTTCATCCACTGGATCCCTGACATGGTTTACCCTCAAATGTAGAAGCAGCAGTGCCCTGGATTTCCCTGCCAGGGACTGTCACGGTACCAGTGGGCATGAACACATTCTGTTCTCTTAGGCAGCAGCCTTACTACCTCTCCTGTGGGAAGTACAGGGTCCTGTGACATGGGTCACACTGAATGACCATGGGTATGGGTGTCCCATCACCACTGCTGCTTCTAGGCTGTTTCCTAGTCTCCCTCAAGCAGTACTTCTCTTTCTCTTACAGGAAGTGCTTCATTGCCTCCCTTAGTCCTGCACCTTTACCTCCAGGCCAGCTCTGTTTCTATGTAGGCAGGACACAGCAGGGAGGGTTAACTGTGATCACTGAGATAGAGCAAGGAGCTAGGGCTTCCTGGTCTACGACAAGGATTGAAAGGATATAGGGAATCCTGGCTCCTGGTCTCCCCTGGACCAGACTCTTTTGTGAGTTTACCCCAGAACCCCACAAGCTTGGCAATGCTGCAGCATGCTATCCCAGAAGAGGCATGTGGTTGGCTACTGAAACACCAATGGATGTTACTGGTCCTCCAGCCTGGATTCTGAAAGTGCAATGTTGCTACTCCAGTTTAGCAGAGTCAGAGGTTTTTATGTGCCTGAACCCCACAAGAGAACAAGACCATCAGGCAGTCCCCTTCCCTGACCCACTTTCCAGACCTCCTTCCAGAGGCTGTCCACAGCAGGGCTCCCTATCCTCTGGCTGGAACTCTGGTATCAGGGGAAAGTGCAGAGGCTGCACATTTTATTTCCCTGGGGCCTTTGGCAGCCTCCCAGGGGGACCTCAGCCCTCTTGGGTGATCTCCTTCCACAATGATTTTGACTCCTGAAAGCAGGAGCCACTGCCTGGGCATGGGACAGGTTGCCACCATCCTTATGATGGTCCTCAATAAGGAAGATGCCTTTTGGGCACTGGTCCACTGCCAACCCTTTAATGAGCAGCATACCATCCAAGTTAAGTAGACAGCTTCTCATGGCACCAAACAGCTAGGCCAGGTGACACCAGATTGATTAGTGATGGCAATTTACAGTCACAGCACCTTCCCTTCCCTACTTGTTCTGAACCACTGGACTGTCTGTTGTAGGTACTCCCAGGGCCGTCAAAGGACCCGCTCATGTCCCTCATCAGTCAAGAGCCCTCAGTGCATAAGCATACCAGGTGATGTGTTCCAGCCTTTTATTCTGCAGCTCTCACCATCTATGGCCAAACTCCAGGTGACAGCATCAACTTAATTCATCTCCTCTCCTGATTCTGAGCCCAAGAGGCAGCCAGACACCTCCATCTTTGTCCCTGTCCCCTACTAGTTTCATGGGCCCAATAGGTTGCTCAAAACCTAACTGCCATAGTCTTTCCTCTGCCTCAAAGGCTACCCTGCCCTTCAGAAATCAGGACATAGTAAGGCAGCAAGGCTAGCTAGCTAGAACTTGTGTGGGTATTGCTTCTTCCTTCTCTGAGGGGACTCAGAGTGGAATAAGGAGAAGCCTCAGGTTCCTGGGATACCTGCTACTGTCCTCAAGCTATGGCTCCACCCCTCTGGAATAAGCTCTAGTTGTAAGTTATAGGTTCTCATGATTCCACAAATGGTTCCAGCCACTGCCTTTTGGCTCTCAGCTTATGAGAATGAGGTAAAAAAGTATCAGAGTGAAAGGACCTGCCTCATCCCCAGAAGCACTGGCCTGCATCTGGAATAGAGAGGTTTGGGGGCCATTATGAACAGGGAATCTTGAGGAGCTTTATTCCTCTATCAGGACAGTGAGGGACATCAACTGTCCAGGGATCCTGTAGTGTTATAGCAATGAAGCACAGATAGGCACAGTGCCAGTTTCCCAGCCCAGGAGTGTGGCTGTTCCAGGAGCTCCCCCACCCTCTAAGAAGGCCAGAAGAGCCCATATCCAACAAATGAGCTAGGCCCCAGACCAGGAGGTCTGCTGTGGCCTTGTTGCCACAGAAACCACAGCACACATCAGAGTCTGAATAAGTGCCATTGGCAGAACTGGCTAGGGCGGGAGAACCAAGGAAACTCTTGAGTCTTGGCAAGCCCCTTATCACCCCAGGTCACACCTGCTAACTCCAGCCCTGAATAGCTACAAGACTGATAACGGCCTCATGGAATCATCTCTATAGAGAACCCAGAGATTGTGTGCAGGCCATTGGTCCCTCCTGGACAGGTGACACCCTCTCATGTCTGCTGTTATTTGTAGACCTCAAGCCCCCCTGAAGCTCTGGAATGTCTACATCCTGGAGAATAAGGTTGTGGTGTCATGACCACGGCAAAAAAAAAAAAAAAAAAAAAAAAAAAAACCTTCAAGGTACATTGAAGTCACTCCTTGGGTATTCAATACAGACCTTGGCTAGCTGTGGGCCACACTCAAACTAACCATTTGTCTACCTCTCCAGGCCTGAATGAGCCAGCCACAAAGGGTGGGCCAGGCCAGATGTGGTCAACTGGGCAGGGGGAAAGGTATTGTCCCAAGCACTAAGCCCATCCCCCATACCACAGATATAAGAGTTGAGGGCACTTTCCTGGCAGGATCTCTCTTTGGGCTATAGTCTTATGTAGACAACAAGACCAGAGTTAGAAACAGAAGGATGCCTTAGCAAGATGGACCTGGGCACAGGCAGGACATGGACAGCAACCTTTCCCAGGGCCCAGCCCAAAGTCAAACTCCATACCTTTGAAAAACCTGTAGTCTCTCTGTAGGACGTGCTGCTTTAGGCTGAACCACACAATGCTAAAGTACCTTCAGGCCTCCACTGTGGAGTTTTGAAGGATAGGATGTAACATTCTTTCCATATTAGCTCCAGTTTGGGGTCCCTTCCCAGGGAGGGCAGGCTGTCTAGGCCCCATGAGCTCTGCCTCCATGTTTCCATCATTCTGCTTCCCTGTCCACCCTTACAATCACAGTCCAGAATGTATTCAGCCTATTAAAAACCCCCAAACAGGGCCAAAAACAACCACTGACATAGCAGGTCCTGTCTCCAACCCACCTGCATGGCCAACATGGCTCCAAAGGGGCCACTGAAGCCCCAGATGATACCTCAGGAGCCTCAAATACACACAGATAAGGAAGCTGAACATTTGGCTCTTGTGGAAGAGTGCAAGTGTGGTGTCCCACTGCCTAACCACTCAGCAAGGAGGCCCTGATCATGCCTATAGGAGCCTCCTTATATTGCAAGTGTCCTCCAAAAGAGGGAGTTCACCCAGTTCCATTTGAGTCTTGAGAGAGTAAAGTGCACACACCGAGGGACCCAGCAGGCAGGATAAGGAGGTGGGCCCTCCCGTTGCCATGACCAGTGCTAGAATGAGGCCCTGGGCATGGCACACTCTTTGGGAGCCATGAGCAGCTACCTGACTGGCATGTGTCTCTCAAGACCATACAGGTGACTTGGAGAATATCTATACACATTGGAGAGGTGGTAGGAACTGGTAAGGCAGCTTCTACCCTCTTAGGGAGCCGAGATTGCCAGTCTCTAGGCACTGATGGGACAGAGGCCTGAGGCCAAACAGAAAACATTGAGGCCCTATTTTCAGAGTCCTAGAATCCCCATCACTGGTCAGAGGCCTGCGGGATGCGAGGGCAGGGCAGGTCTTACACTCTGCAATCGTTGGGGCTATACTTCACGGATCCCAGAATGCAGGAAATGTGTTTCCTGCTGGAGACAAGGAATGCTCCCTTACTCTTAAGGCCCCCTCCTCCCATTAGCTAAAGGACAATGGGTCACTTTTCAGATCACCTGACTATTCTTGTGTTGCCTATAGCTGTCTGCAAGAAATACAAGACAGCTGGGGCAGGCAGAAGGGAAGGACCATACAGTCCAGGGTCCCAGGCTAGCCACCCCATCCTCTTCTCAGAAACAGGAAGAAGGCAGATGATGAATCCCAGGGTCCCAGTATCTTCTGTGAGGCCATGGGCAACACACCTCCTGCTCCCAGCCAGAGACAAGTCAAGACCGTCAAATAATTTACTGTGATTCAACCTGTGCACCATAGGCACCCGAAGGGAACTGAGAGGGGTTGAGGACTGGGGTGCCAGTGGCAATAGGGACAGTTCATGACAGTCTGTTCAAATTGTCCATGCGAAGGTCTTGGTCACCTCTGTCCACCGTCCCTGGACTGGACTGGCTCCAGCATCGCTTCCTTCCTTCCTTCCCTTCTCTTTCCTTCCTTCCGTCTGCACCTCCTCCCTGCATCCGGCACCTCCACGTCCTGAGCCTGTGCCGGGACGGGCACAAAGGACACCACTGACCGCAGGCAGGGGCATTGGCAGGATGGGGGGGGGAGCAGGGACATCAGAGTGGATGTGAAGTTCATCTGGCTAGCTCGGGCCACTGCCCCACACGTCTGCCGGTCCCTGCCTCACCTGGTGTCAGGATAGCACACACTTGCAGCTCATGCAGCCAGGACCACTCTCATCGGGTGGGTTCAGCTTCCGCAGTTTATGCTGACGAATCTCACGCACTAGTGTGTAGAAGGCATCCTCCACACCCTAGGTACAGAGGGACTAGATCAGGGGGCACTCTGAGGAGGAAATGGGTGCTGTCTAGGTAAGAAACTCCCTACTTGGATCAGGGAACACCCCAACCCTGGAAAACAACCCTTCCTCGGCTGCAAAACCAACACAAATAGGGAGCTGGGCTCAGCATATCTAAAAGGCACAGGACCACTCTCCTTAAACAGGCTTACTCTGGAATATCCTTTAGAGCAACTCAACTCAGAACTCTCCCAGATCCCAGTATGGCTCAGGTATGAACACCCTGACCACACGTAAGGGCTCAAAACTAGCAGGTACCCATAGGACTCTATGAGGACAGGAAGGACTAGGCCCCTGGGTCACCGCTCCGGCCTGGCTCAGGGCAGCTCTCTCCATGGACCCCCTCCTGCCCTGGCACTGTGTCAACCCAGAACTGCAGGGCATAAGCCCAGACCCTGGCCCTTGCCTCCCTCACAGTCCTGCCGTCTGGGAGACTTACAGCATGGGGGCCGCTGGGTCACAGGGGTCCCGGGGGGTCCCAGAGGGTCCCGGAGCTGGAGCCAGAGCCAGAGCGGCTGCCCTGTGTTGAGGGAGAGGGGCGATGAGCTCTGCTCCCTGGCTGGGGTGGGGTGGGGTGAATCCCTGACTAGCTGTGGAGTGGGGAGCAAGCTCACCTGCCGGGTCTTGGCTGATGTTTCAATGTAGGGGATGCCATAGCTGCGGGCAAGGTCCTGGGCCTGCCGAGACTCAACAGTTCGAGCAGCCAAGTCACACTTGTTCCCCACCAGCACCATTGGCACATCATCTGAGTCCTTCACCCGCTTGATCTGCTCCCTGGAAGGGGATGGGGAAAATGTGAGCCAGCTAGCAGGCTACAGACATGGCTGTACCCAGGACATTCAAAAGACATGAACCTTCAGTGTGCACATAGAACCTTCCTCACCTGGGCTAACCATAGGTGGCTCACCTGTACTGATGGATGTCCTCAAAAGACTTGGTGTTGTTGATGGCAAACACACAGAGGAAGCCCTCCCCTGTGCGCATATACTGGTCCCTCATGGCACTATACTCCTCTTGACCTGCCGTGTCTAAGATGTCCAGCAGACATGTCTCCCCATCGATGACCACCTGTTTCCGATAGGAGTCCTGCAGAAGAACAGAGCTTAGGGAATCCCACCTCACCTCAGAATCCACAGAGCCCGCCTACCCTTGCACCCCTCATGCCCAGATAGATCAGGTGGGAGCCAGTCCCATCCCACCTGCAAGACCTAGCTGTGTGGGCCTGTCCTGACTCTTCCATGACCATTGCCAGAGTACAGCAGGTATAGCCAGAGCTCACCTCTATGGTGGGGTCATACTCGTCCACAAAATGGTTCTGGATCAGCTGAATGGTCAGGGCACTCTTTCCCACGCCTCCAGCGCCCACCACCACGAGCTTGTATTCTGTCATCGCTTCTATAGAGGCTGCCACTCCAGGAGCTCCTGCCCCACCTGCCAACGAGAGCCACACTTAGGCCCGGGCCACTTGAGACTGTTAATAGGTTCCTGGCACAAAGGCTCTCGCCAGCATTGAGAAGGCAGGCCAGGCACGACAGTGGCCCAGTCACTCACCTGTGGCACCTCCAGCTGGGACAGGGAGCCCCCCCCCCTCCACCAACACTTAATGGCTGTGTGAAGAAGCAGGGAGAGGCCCCCAAGGCAGGGCTGACAGCTGAGAGCTTCTCCCAACCACGCACCCAAATTAGAAGTCGCTAGGTAGGCAGAAAGCCTCAACTGGAGGCGCCTGAGGGCTGAGGCCACCCCCCAAAAACAGGTCCTGCCACGGCGGCCTCAGCGTGCCTAGACAAGCCAGTGCCAGCCTACAACCGGCTCCGGCCCGCCGGCATGTGGGTGCAACCGACAAGTATTTACTGAGCGCCTACTGCATGCCAGGCGCGGTCCCGGCAGCGGGGGAAGGGTGGCTAGAGAGGAACCCTACCCTCCGCTGAGACAGACCTTCCACAAGGGGCCAGGGAGCCTTCAGCAAGCAGGGGGGGAAAAGCGGCTGAGAGTGTGGGAAGCAGGTGACTGCGGGAAAGACTCACAAGGGGCGCGAGGGGTGGCTAGGATGCAGAAGGCCCTGAATGGAGCCCGAGGCGGGTGTCCTTTTAGCCCCGAGGCAGGAGCGTGATGGCCGCGGGGCTCAGAGTCTCCGGAGGCCCGGGCGGCGCCTCGCCGGGAGGGCGGCCACAGGCGGGGCGGGCCGGGCCGCAGAGGCGGGCAGCCGGGCGCTAGGCACGCTGCCGGGATGAGAGGAGAGGGGAAGCTCCGATCACCTGCGCCCCGCGCCCCACCCCGTGCCTGCACTCACCGCTTGCTGGAGTGACTGCCCCCGGGGCCGGGGCCGGGGCAGGGCGGGGGCGCGGACCGGAGCCGGCTGGGCCCGCGCATGAGCTCCGTCCGCGGCGGGTGCGGCTCGGGCTGCGGGCGCCGGGCGCGGACGGCGGGGACTCGGCCGGGCCCGCGCTCGCCCCGCCCCGCTCCGCCCCGCGGCCATCCGTCAACCCTAGACAGCCGGTGATTGGTCGAGCTCCGCCTCACCGCGACCTGTTGTGATTGGCTGAGCAACCCATCCGTCAGGAGCCGCAGCTAGGCGGGACTTCCTGGAGTGGCAGGGAGGGCACTGTCGCGACCCGGGTACTGCGCTCAAAGGAGAGACGCCTAGTTCCGAGCTGCGGAAGAGAGTGAGGGAGCCCGAGATTCCGCTGGAGAGAAACTGGCGTACACTCGGGTTGGGTCGCAGGGCCTGCCACAGAGCCCACACCCTACAGCCGCACCAGAGGCCCAAAGGCCCAGGGTGGGGAAAGGTCATTCCGACGGGGACCTGGCATCGGGGACAGTCAGCACCGCGGACGCGGGATACCAGAGGAAGGCAGAATCCGCCGGAACCCCACGTTGCCTGTTCTCGTAGACCGAGGTGTAGCGAAGGCCCCATCCCGGGGCAGCATCGGCCCATCACACCGCGTTCCTTGTGCTTTGGAGAAGACTCTCCCTTACCTCCCCCAAACTCGAGGTCCCAACCCTGCAGCAGCTCATACTGCGCCCCATTTGAAGAAGGACCCCGGAAGTCTGAAAAGTTGGTATTAGGGCAAAATGAAATGTTCCATCCACTCAAGCAAATAGGGTACATCTGTGTCAGACGCAAATGACATGTTTGCAACACTTTGAAATTTCAAAGAAACGAGTAAGCGCGTCCTCCTTAGAAAACCGACAGGGCTTTCCTCTGGTGATGCAGGCCTGGGGGCACGCGCTCATGTGTCGCCCGGGGTGCAAGCTAGGCTCGGCCGATGCGGCCAGCAGGTAGATAATCCAGAGCGGGCCAGAAACCCCTCACGGGCAACTCTCCGAACCTCTGTGGGCGTCTTCTCAGACGTCCCGCTTGCCTTCCTTACACTGGGGAGCCCTCCCACCGGATCTGCCGCGTGTCCCGGCAACCGTTGCTAGGGGGCGGGTCTCATCTTGCCTCAGTCCCGGATGCCCGCGGCTCACGAATATTTGGGTATTCAAATAAGGCCCCGCCCCCGTTGCCATGGCGCCAGGGCCGCAACCCCACCGCGGAGGAAAAAATAAAAAAGCCCTCACTTGAGAGAGCGACCGCCGCGGTGGAGGGGCCCAGGAGTGGGCCCCAGGTCTCTGGCATCCTGGCCCACCCCTCAGGTGAGAGCTGGGCATTACCTCTCCATGTCCCTTGTGCTAGGGGACACCTGGAGTGAGGCCTACATCTGTGGGGCAAGACACACTGGACTGAGTAAGCAATAAATCATGAAGTGCTGTGGAAAGAGGTAACTCTTAATACAAAAAATGTATCTGGGGAAGACAGGTAGGAAATGCAGGCGTTAGGGGTCGGCCAAACCTGGATGGATGGAGGTCAGGGACGATGGGATGGTGGCCAAGAAGAATGTTCTGGGCAGAGTTCTCACTGCAGCCCAAAGACTGTTGAGTTCAAGGTCTGAGGCCAAACACAGACCTCTGTATCTTTAAGGAGAAGCAGTAGGTGAGCCTGTTGCCAGAGGTTTAGAGGCACCTGAAAAAAAAATCCTCTAGAGGTATGGGAAGGAGTTCAGGAGAGGTGGGCCTACAGGAGGTTCAGAACCACACACCCAGAATCCCCTTTAAGAGTGGAAAAAGCAGTAGGGTTTGGATGAGGACCATGTCTTAGTTTGCATTGGGTGATCCAGAAGGACCCTTAACTATCTTCTTCATTATCTGAGCCTCATCTCCCATTAAAATGGTCACAGGGGGTTCAGAACCAGGTCCCCAGCTAACGGCACTCCATTCCTGTACCTGCTTGCTTCTGAGCTGGCCTTGGCCACCTCAGCCCAGATGCTACAGACCAAGCACAGTGATATAGCCAGTAAGCTAATCTAACTCTCTCTTACAGGTATTACATGTAGACACATGTGGCCCCCTTGCCCGGATGTTTGACCTACAGCAGGAGCCAGCTACCTGCAGGTGGGGCCTCAATCAGAGAAGGAGGTGGGTTAGAGGGAATGTCTGCTATCTTGAGCCTGAACCTAAACTCAAGAGACCATTAATGAAGAAAGATCCACAACCAGGGTCTGGGGCAGCCTGGGGAACTGTCAGTGACAGATGGCTGCTGGTCGATATAGGCATCTTGTCCAGTATCCCTAGTCTTAAAAAAATATTCTTTATCTTATATATACATGTCTGTGTGTGTGTGTGTGTGTGTGTGTGTGTGTGTGTGTACCACAGAGTACAAGTGCCCTCAGAGGCCAGAAGAGGGCAGCTGATCCATCCCTTGGTTACAGGCATTTATGAGCTACCCAATATGGATGCTAGGAATCAAACACAGGTCCTCTGCAAGAGCAGCCAAACGCTATTAACCACATAGATATCTTTCCAGCACCAATTCACAGCCTTTATGATGCCCAACATGGCAAAGCATGGAGCCAGTACTCTGGAAAACAAATACAGAACCAAATAAAGGAATAGGGAGATAGCTCAGACAGAAAATTACTTGCTTTGTAAGCACGAAGACCTGAGTTTGATCCCCAGAACTCTCATATAAAATGCCAGACATGGTAGTGTGAGATTGTAATCACAGCACTGGGGAGACAAAGACAGGTAGGTGCCTGGGACTTGCTGGCAAGCCCAGTTTAGCCTATTTGGTGAGCCGCAGGCCAGTGAGAAAACTTACCTCAGGAAAAAAAAAAAAAAAAAGGATGGCAACTGAGGAATGGCACCCAAAGTTATCCTCTGGCCTCCATATACACACATATGCACACATACTAACATATACACACATGAATTATAAAATGGATACGTACATCTCTTTTTTTCCAAAATACAGAAGTAAAGGGACAGAAGTTATTAGCACAAGCAGGAAGTTTGAGCTGAAAGCAGAGGAGTGGGCATGGACTGTCCAGTTATCTAGACCACTGAGGTTTCCCAGGGTCCCTCAGGCCAGGCCAAGTCAGGCTGTGATGTGGGGAGATGTCAGAGCTGACCTAGAGGCTTTGTGGGCCATTGATGGGAACTAGAACCTTGTAAGCTAGGAGATTTGGTCCTCTGCCTCTCCTAACAGGTTGGATGTGGATGGACCCAGCCTGGGATGGATCCCAGGGGCCTCGGCCAGGCACAGCTAGTATCCGGGTACGGGAGCTGAGCTGGCAGGGCCTAAACAACCCCTGCCCACAAAAGAAGAGACTGGGCAGCCATGGGGATATCCACAGGGAGTGGCGGGTAGAGGAGCACCTTTCACCGGCTCGACTGGTAAGTGATTGGGCCTGAGGCTCTGCCATGGGTCTGCATGAGGTGACATACTGGCACCATTTCTGCTGACATCCAGTTTCCCCTCTGCTAGGTACCCCTTACCTTTCTACCATTAGGGTCCCTGCCAGCAATCCAAGTGACACAAGTATCCACAGGCATTGAGATCACAGATGGCACTGTTGGGCTAGGGTTCCGTAACTATTGGCTGAGGCTGTGCTCAAGCAGACAAGAAGCCTGTTACTCAAGAGCTGATGTTGCAGCAGGGAGGAGTAGGAGGTGGCATACTGGGATGCTGAAAGGGCAGCTGGTCATGGCATATGGCTCCCCTCTCAAGGCTAGAGTTCCTCAGTCTCCTCTCAACCTGCCTGAGGTAGGATCTGTCTTTGGCATGCTGCCTAAATTGGCAGCAGATAAAGACTTTCCTCAAAATCCAATGTGAGAGCCTATAGGTATACCCTATCCCAGAGTCCTAAGGCTTTGTAGAGTACATCTGGGCAACCATGAATCTCCCAGGACTTAAGAGTTTGCTACCCACTCATGGTTGGCCACTATGAAGAAGAGAATCTTGATAGATGGTATCACCCAGGACCTCCTCAGAATAACTGTTTAGCCTGCTAGGCCAGAACCTCCATGTGTTCCCCAAGTGTCCCCTGATGACATAGCAGGTGTGGCCCAGGGTCCTGACAGACCATCCTTGTATTTCATATACATAGACAAGATCTTGTCTAAGCTGGGTGGTGGTGGCACATGCCTTTAATCCCAGCACTCAGAAAGCAGAGGCAGGTGGCTCTCTGTCAGTTTGAGGCCAGTCTGGTCTACAGGACAAGTTCCAAGACAGCCAAGGCTGTCCAGTGAAACCCTGTCTTAAAAGGGGTGAGGGGGGATAGGCTTGTGTAGTCGTCCGTCTACAAAATCAGACAGACCAGTTGGGCCCCCTCCCCTTGACTTCCAGCATGAGTTTTTTGTGTGTCCTCTGGTCCAGGTATGCTGTGGCTGGGTGCTGCTCAGCAGGGCTCTGGGTTCCAACTGCATTGTTGGATCTGTTCTGAAGGTCTCGTATGGAGACTGGGCTCCTAGGTGCAGGCCCTTCCCTGACAGCACCCCTTCCCTGATAGTCAGTTTCAACCTCTGCTCGTGTCATGCCCACCAGCCAAACTTTTATTGCAAGCCCAGCCTGGATGAGGCAGGGGAACATTTGCCACCTGCTCCAGTAGGCACCTTTACAGAGTCCTCAGCCAAAAGCATGGAGAAAACTGGGAGTGACACCTGATGATTTCTGCAGCAGGCCCTGGCCCAGGTAGATGACCTCCAACTGGTGAGGGTGCTGGAGATGTGTGTGGACACCCGTAAGAACAGCCTGGGGAACTTCGGTGAGAGTCGCTGGTCACACCCATGCCCCTGTGACTGTCACAACTAGACCTTCCCATGAGCCAATTGTATTTCCTGGTTGTAAATGAAAAGCTAGCAAACACCTTGGACAGCATGTCCCTTTTCTTAAGATTGGACTGTAGAACTAAGATGTATAATAGCTTAGAAATACGTTTCAGCCCAGGGTATACATTCCAAATTGACTTTCAGGGACCACACCCAAACACCAGTTCCAGTAGGGCAAAATCAAGAATACTATGCTCCCATGAAAGGTGCTCCCAGAGCTTATTTGGAAAGGATTTGGAATTTATAGACTCATTGCACAGATGTTATATTGATCCCTCACATACTCTTCCTCCAGAATCCACCTCTGCAAT